CGGCTCGGGCGGGGCAGGTGCCGCACGGTGCGACAAGGTGCTGCCAGAGCTGCAGCCGCACAGTCAGCACGTTCGTCATGGCTGTGGCCGTGGCCGTGGCCGTGGCAGTAGCAGCCGGCGGTCATGGTCATGGTGGGGGAGGATCCACGCGTGGCATGGCACAGGCACGGCATTGCATTCTGCCTCAGCCAGCCCGACCACCGACTGACTGACTGACTTCCAGCAACCACCCTCTTCTCTCCCAAGGCACCTTTTACTTCCGCATCGCCGTCACGCGCGCAGACTTTCCCTGCGGCTCGGGCGCGACACGGAGCTCCCACCATGTTGACAGCCCCTCCGACGACTCTCCCTCCCAACGCCTAGACCGACTCGTCCCATCCACCTGCCCGCCCTGACGATCCCCTCGTTTCCCTGCTTGGCCCCGCGTGGGCTCGCCCGCCCGCAAACATGTATGAGCCGCTCAACCCCATGCCCTGCGCTGCGTCAGGCAGGCGCACCAATCTTCTTCGATTGACCACGGCCACAGGTTCGAAAAATCTCTTTACGACCTCATTCGAGGCCTACGAAACCACAAGGGCAACGAGCGCGAATACATCCAGAACAGCCTGAAAGAATGTCGCGCCGAGGTTCGCAGCCAGGACATGGGTGAGTTCCCCCCCCCCCTCCCTAGGCCTCTCACAACGGCAACACAGCGAATATTCCATGGCACCAAGGAAACCAGTGCTGATGCGCAGCGGGTAGACCTCAAGGCCACGGCCCTCATGAAGCTCGTGTACCTCGAAATGGTCGGCCATGACATGTCCTGGGCCTCGTTCCACGTCCTCGAGGTCATGTCCTCTCCCAAGTACCACCAGAAGCGTGTCGGCTACCTGGCCGCTGTGCAGAGCTTCCGCCCCGACACGGAGGTTCTTATGCTGGCAACGAATCTCCTGAAGAAGGTATGACCAAAACACGCCGCCCGCGGCAGAGAGACGCCGCCGTGACGGAGAGACACCGCCGACCCTGTTGCCTTGGACAGTCCACTGACGAACCATATCCAGGACCTAGCCTCGCCGCATGCGACAACCATCACGCTGCCCATGGCCACGCTGCCACACATCATCACGCCCTCCCTCGCCCTCTCCACCATCTCCGACCTGCTGCCGCGCCTCAGCCACTCGCACCCCAACATCCGCAAGAAGGTCATCGTCACCCTGTACCGATTGGCCCTCGTCTACCCCGAGACCCTGAGGGCCGCCTGGCCCAAGATCAAGGAGCGCCTCATGAACAAGGACGAGGACCCCAGCGTCACGGCTGCCATTGTCAATGTCGTCTGCGAGCTGGGCTGGCGGAGACCCCACGACTTCTTGCCCCTGGCGCCGAGGCTGTTCGAGCTGCTCGTCGAGGGCGGCAACAACTGGATGGCCATCAAGCTGATCAAGCTGTTTGCCACCCTGACGCCGCTCGAGCCGCGGCTCGTCCGCAAGCTGCTGCCCCCGCTGACCGATCTCATCCGCACGACCCCCGCCATGTCTCTTCTCTACGAGTGCATCAACGGCATCATCCAGGGCGGCATCCTGGGAAGCGCAGACGACGGCAGCGAAGAAATCGCCACCCTCTGTGTGAACAAGCTCAGGGGCATGATCATGGTCGATGGTGATCCGAACCGTGCGTTTTCTTTTTTTTTTTTTTTTTACCTGAGCTTGTTTTGTTTGGGGGGCTAACCAAAAGACAGTTAAATACGTCGCTCTCCTGGCCTTCAACAAGATTGTCTTGACCCATCCCTTCCTCGTCGCACAACAGGAGGACGTCATCCTCGAGTGCATCGATAGTCCTGACATTACCATCCGTATCAAGGCCCTCGACCTCGTCAAGGGTATGGTCAGTGGAGACAACCTCGTCTCTGTCGTGAGCCGCCTCATGAAGCAACTGCGATCGTCTACACCGCCAAAGAACAGACAGAACGCCGGTGCCCCCCTGGGGCCCGACTCGGCACCCGACTCGGAGGAAGAGGCTGAGGTCATCAACCCCAACGCAAAGGAGAAGGGCCAGGCGCCGCCACTGCCGGACGACTACCGCATCGATGTCATTGGAAGGATCCTCGACATGTGTGCCCAGAACAACTATGCGAACCTGGTCGACTTTGACTGGTACATTGATGTCTTGACACAGCTTGTTCGCATGGCGCCGGCGCCGAGGCCTGTGGGTACAGAACTCGAATCTGCCTCGTCGTACGGAAGCTCGACGTCGGGCGACATTTCTGAAAAGATTGGCGACGAGCTGCGCAATGTCTCTGTCAAGGTCATGGCCATGAGGCGATCCGTCGTCATGGCGGCGGACCTCATCCTGACGCAACTCAACGCCGATACGCCGCCGGGCCACTTCATCACATCGGCGTCCATCAAGTCGATTGCTTGGATTGTCGGAGAGTACCCCATCATGCTCTCTTCCACAGACGACTCCCTGACGACACTCTTGCAAACAATCCCGAGGACCAACATTCCCGAGATACTCATCACCTGCCTGCAGGCTGTCGCCAAGGTCTTCGCCTTCATCGCAAGCAACGACAGACAACTGTGGACGCCAGAGTGGAAGTCCAGGATAACACTACTCATGGCCCGCGTCATCAACATCTTCGAGCCTCTGGCCCTGCACCCAAGCCTCGAGGTGCAGGAGCGGGCAGTCGAGTTTATCGAGCTCCTCAAGCTCACGGCGGAGGCTGCGTCAGGGCACGACATATCAACAGAGGAAGCCGAGCAAGACCCCCCGCTCCTTCTCACCCAAGCGATCCCTTCGCTCTTCCAGGGTTGGGAGCTCAACTCTGTCGCGCCAGGTGCGCAGGCGGAATGTCCCCATCCCCGAAGTTCTCGATCTCGACGAGCCCATTCACTCAAATCTCAATGCTTTGCTGGGCGAGAGCAGACTTTTTGCCGGCCAGCACCGAAGAGGCGGACGACTTTGAGGCCTACTACCACCAACGCCCTGCACCAACAAGCGTCTCCTCTTCGGAGGCCGGCTATCAACAGAATCGCAGATGTCGCGACCGAGAGAACGTGTCGTCATACCAGCAGCCGACAGAAGACACGTACCTTGACGCTGACATCATCGCTCGCCGCAAGGTTGAGCGCCAGGAGCGCAACCGCGAACGACCCCTTCTACATTGGCGGCCTTGGCTCCGGCTCCGGCTCCGGTTCCGGTGGCGCCTCGACACCCATTCACAACATTCTTCAGAAGGAAAACGGCCCGGACCTCGATATTGACTCGATCCCCATCATGCAACTGGACCTCGACAAGCTCGGCACCTCTGCGCCGACGTCCTCTTCCTCTCAGCAGCAGCATCACCTTCTCCAGCAAAGGCCACCGCCGCGGCCCCGCCAGCGCGTCGTCGTCGCCGCAGACGAGACGCTCGCAGGGCACGGCGGCAGGGGCCACGAGCGGCCTCTCGACGCCCCGCGCCTACGAGTCGGAGAACAACTCGGACAGCTTCACGCGCAGCCGCGCCAAGAAGCTCCGTCAGGGCCTCCTGCACGTCGACTCGTCGCACATTGGCACCTTTAGTCTCGAAGGTGACAATGACGCCGCCAGGGCCGGGGGCGCCGGCGCCGGTGCCCAGGCGAACCCGTACGACTACGAGAGACAGCAGCGCGAGGAGGCCGAGATGGCGCAGGCTATGAAGGAGGTCGAGAGGCTGCGGCTCGAGATGCAGCGCGCCAACGAGCGCATCTCGGTCGCGCAGGGCGTCGATGCCGAGGGCACCGTCGTCAAGCGCAAGGTCAAGAAGAAGAGCAGCGCCGCGACTGGGGACGGCACGGCCGTCAAGAAGACGACCAAGAAGAAGAAGAAGGTCGAGGGGGGAGAGACGCTGATCGAAGGAGACGCGGCGACGGGGGCAGTCGATGGAAACGGCGAGCCGGCGGTCGTGGTGGCCAAGAAGAAGAAAAAGAAAAAGGCACCGGTTGTTATAACGGACGACGCCGAGGCGCAGACGGGGGAAAGGTCATGACATCCGGCACCCACGTAGAAGAATGGAGGCAGCCAGGCTCACGACAAAGACGTCTGTCCGGTCATGAAAACAAATGATTCCCGCGTTCTTCTCTTCTTTGGGTCTCTTTTGTAGAGCACCAGTGATTGTTCCTCTCCCGTGACACGTCATCGACAACAGGTCAAAATCACAGAAACCAGACGAGTTTGAGAATAGGATCAGATTTCAGACACAAGAGGACGCCTAACCCCCCCACAGGAGAGCCTGCCATACAAGAGCAGAACCCCGCCAGTCATATCACTCGTCTCGTCTCGGCGCATTGGGCTGGGGGAAGAAAAAGAAAAGTAAAAAAAAAAAAAAAAAGCTGAGAACATTCACGGCGTGCTACTAGTTACAACTCCTCTCTTCCCTTATCTTGACCTCTGCCTTTCCTTCTATACGTGGAATCATATCGGGACAACAGTCCAGGCAAGGGCGGATCGTCATGCGCGCCGCCTCTCGACCGACGGCCTACTCCTCCCATGTGCTTCTTGGTTTTCAGAACAAGGTGCACAAGGGACATGTGTCGTGCTCAGTTGTCCATGGGCTTGTCTCGAGCGTGACGCCCCTGGGGCGATGACCTCGGCATTGCCCGCGCCTGACGAAAGCCGTGACGCCGCCCGACCGCCTGCGAAAGCGAGCTCCCGTCCGGCCGAGGCTGTTGCGCTCTCAATGGGCGAGTCGCTGAGGCCTTCAATCTTGAGAGCATTGACTCGACGGCGCCGACGGGCGCACCGTTGGCCGGCATCGACTGGCGCTCCTGCGTGCGGGCCGCGCGGCGTGTGCTCGGCCGGGCTTGGGCTAGGGGGCACGTCGCCGTTGGGTTCGGGCACCTCGAGCGAGGCCCGCTTGGCGGTCGCCGCGGCGACGGCAGCAGAGCTGTTGGCTGTGGCGCTGCGATGCTGCCGAGAGATTGGCGGTGGCGGTCCGACGCCGACGTCGGGCTCGTCTGGATAGGGAATCGGGTCTCCGGGCCTCCAACCGAACGGTCGCGGCGGTGACCTGTGCGAGGGCCAGGAGCGGGCGACGTGGCGCGGCTGCGGCCACCCGAAGCCTTCTCGAGAAGGAGCCTATTCCGCTCCTCCATGTTGGCGCGGCGATTGCTCTCGTCGGTACTAATCGCGCGAGGGCGGTTGCCACCGCCGCCGGCACCAATGCTGCCTCCGCCAGCGTTGAGTGAGTTACCGGCTGACATACGCTTGAGCTCCGTAAAGATGGGTTCCTTGTACTGGAAAAGGTCACGGATGAGGCGGTAGGCGTGCTTCTCCTCCATTGTGAGGGAGGTTTCGGTGCGCGGGCGGAGGATGCAGGGGGCGAGCGTTGTGGCGAGGGCGTTTACATACTCCTCGTCAGCCGAGGTAAGGTCGATGAGGCGGGTGAAGTGGTTCATGCAGGCGTCGAGGGTGGCAATGTTAGTGAGACGAAGCTGGGCGAGTGTCTGCTGAAGAATAGATATCCTCGAGGCTTCTGACGTTTCTGCGGATTGTGCGGACTGTGCTGTGTAAACCTGGCGTACGATCTCATACATGTGAGCGGAGACGAGGGAATCTTGGGAATATCAGCAAGAGTAATCCAAAAGAGCATCCCGAGCTACTTACCGGGAAGTTCGAGGAGGTACAGCTTGAGCAAGCTGGCCACAGTCGGTATGTCAAACTCGCTGAGAATTTCTGGCGAAAGCGGCTTGCCGTCGTTCACTCTGGAACGGAGCTTATGTGTGTGCGTCAGCGGAACGTCCACTAGCCAGACATCCCGCCTGGCTTTGTCGCCTTCTAGTTCAGGGTATTGGTTGTCGAGATAGGTGAGGAGCGTTGTGACGACAATGGGGACGCGCTTCTTATCCGCCTTGGCTCTAGCCTCAAGATCCACGCCAAAGGTCTGCTCGTCAACCTTGTTGTAGTAATTCTCGTACACAACAACCTTGGGGTGGAAGCCGCCAGTGCGATAATTCTCCAAAAGGTAGCGCAGATCGCTGGCAGGTTGTACCGTCTCCTGGAACAGCATCATGTTGTCGACGGCCGACTGAAGCGTCGGGATGACGTTGCTGATGGTGCCTGAAAAGTCCAATACGACAGTCTTGACAGCCTTGAGCCTGTCCAGCTCGCAACGCTCGAGGAAGCGGAGGTGGAGGAAAATGTTCTCCTCGAGATCGCATCGAAGCTCGTCGAGCTTGCGCACGGCCGCCTTGTACTTGTCGTCAGCCTCGCGGGCCTCGCGGCGCAGGCGGTCAGCCGGCGTTTCATTGGGATGCGCGTTGTTGAGAACGTTCCAGTTGGCGAGATATTCGCTGACGGTACCTACAACGGGAGAATCGGAGCCGCCGTCGGAACCTGGCATAGAGAATGTCCTCCCAAGCGTCTTCTTGTTCTCCGGTACGCCCGCCATCTGAAAAGCCTTGGTCTTCCACTGATACATCATCTTGGAACTGTTGGCGAAGCTGTTGCCGACGTTGCCAATTAGTCGCAGAAACCCGTTAGAGATCAGATCCTGGCCAATCCTCTCGGCGTAGCTGATGCTGGTGGTACCCATATTGCGCTGAAGATATTCGACAATGTCGGTGCCGGGCGATGTGTTTTGGTAGGTTCCCATGATTGGCACCTTGTGCTCGCCCAGCGGGATCGTGTTCAGCATGTGAGCGAGGATCTTCTTCATCTGTTCAGGTTGATAGACTTCGTCGCCAATTTCAATGGGCTCATCATCTTCTTCAGGAATCTCGGGCTCCTTGTTCTCGGAAACTTTGATCTCGGGGATGTTGCTGACAGTGACAGCATTAGGGCTCGTCTCGGGATCTTGGAAGGCGAGTTTGTTCTCCTCCTCGATATCTTCGACGAGCCGACACTTGTTAAAGTAGTTGCTCCGCAGCTTCTTGGCCAGCTCAGCCTGACGGTCGTGTGCCTTGATGCGCGTCTGCAGATCGTCTTGGGAATCTTGAATGCGAGATTCGTGGGCGTCGCACCAGCGAGTGAAGGGGTTCACAACGAGGTCACGGATGCTCTGAGCAATTTTCTTGTGGCTTCGGGCCGCATCTTCCATCTCGATTCGAACGCCGTCGTAGGCCTTGTGGTAAGAGCATTAGCAAAATGATTTTTTCCCCCCGAAACATCGTGAAGGCTGGATCTCTGCTGTACCTTGCGGACGGTGGCACCATCGTCTCTAGCGAAGCCGCCTTGGATTCGGTCGGAAGCTGGCGCAATGTCGCTCAACCTGGTGCCGTAGAGATCTTCGGCTTCGGCTCGCATGCGGGCGATGGTCAATATCTGCCGGTTCTCGAGGACGCCCTGCTGCAGCTTGCCAAACAGGACGCCGAGGCCTGGTGAGGCGTCAGCGACTGCGGCTTGGGGAAGGGGCGACGAGCGATATCGTCAATCGCGGTGGCGGATTCGGCTCAGCCTAACTTACCGGCGGCATAGTCTGTCGACCAGAAAGACTCTGCGAAGCCCGGCATGGTGGAGGGTTGTGAGCCAAGTTGAGGTATGACGTCAAGGGCAATAGTCGCGATGCGACAAAAAATGAGGCAGGCAAGCAGAAACAAAGGGTGCAAGGGAAGGGACAGAGGAGGCCCGAGGCAGAAAGGTGCGAAGTAAAAGAAGTGGGCTAGATGTCTTGATCTCACACGGCCATGAATGGACGATCGGTTTGGCGGTTGGATGAAATGCAAGGGGCTAGGAGAGATGTTTCGTTTCGGCCTGGTTCGCGGGTATCGTGTCGGGGGTACGTATGCGCCAGGCAAGGATCGTCGATGGGCGTCACCAGTGGTGTTACACTTCGTGTCGTCGTGGCGAAGGGGTGGTTGGGGCAGGGCGATGAGGAAGAAATCAATGTTGTCGTGTCGTGATAGCCAGCCGAAGAAAATGGGTGATCAAGGTGTATGCTTCGTGGTCTGAAGAGGCTGCCCTGGACTGGACAAGGCCCGGACATTGAAGAGAAGAACTACTGCAGGCTGAGTCGTGTTCGCCCCTGGTGTGTTGCTCTTGCTGCTGCTATTCCAGGGCCCTTTCTGGGTTTGTTCAGGGGTCGACGCGCAGGAGGTTGTCAGCCGCCCAGCCCAAGGGAAGCATGGGACGGCACATCCACCCAGGTACCTACCTAGGCATGGTACTAGGCAGGTAGGCAGGTATCGAGGTACTTGCAGCTCTTCTCATGTCGCAAGCAGGCAGCCTGATGTGGGGGGGTGAGCAAACCCGGAATGACAGCGCAGCTACAGGCGCTTGGGGCCTTGTGTATCATCTCTCATTGGTTCAAGGCATCGAGTTGACACTGGAGCGACAGCATGGGGAAAGCTTCCAAGGCTGTTTCGGCGAGGGAGTCCCTGCTGGTGTCCCTGAGAGCCCCTACCAGGGTGGCCCCGAGTCCCCCAAGAGGCCGCCGAGTGCCCTGAGTTGTGGTGCATACAGTTGCCGCCAGGTGCATGCCCACAGCCTTTCGTCTGAACTTGCTGTGTTGGAACCCAGGTACAGCTTTGAAGCCGCATCATCGTCATTTCACTACACACAAACTTACTATGGCGTTGCACCGACAGCTTCATACTTCTGGGCTCGGCCTGCAAGCAAGACTGCTAAGGCCACCATGTTCTAACGTGCCCTGGGTCTAGACTCACGTTTCATAACTGTATTTGCCGCATGGATTCGCAGGACTCTCTGGTGATGTTTGAAAAGGATCAACTGCTCAGGAGATTGCGCGGCTGACTAACGGGTCTACCTCGAGACGGAATGCTGCTTGGATCAGTTCAGTATTCGTCATCAGCCACTTTGATCTTTGAGCTCTACATTTGCCCTTACGACAATTCGCTTTGTCCTTGCACCAGTTGACGGTCACCTGTTTGATTATTGAAGAATCTCCATCCACACAGTCTGAATTGTTTTGAAAGCTTGGGTCAGGTAAGGTTCTTCCCAAGTTGTCCACCTTTTCACGAAGCATGAAGTCTACTGCGGGTTGGAGACCAATGATGCCCTCGCGGCCCATCTAGACGCATCAACCACTGAGCACTGGCGAAAACGGCCCCATTGGTTCGGGCTTAATTAAAGAGCAAAGAGCAGTCGAGCCTTTACCGTGAATGACTTTAAACAAATGATAGTTACTGACGATCAATCTCCTAGCATGGCCCAGCACAAATATCATCGGCTTAATAGAGCCGAAGACCAGTCCATGCTTGGCTCGGTTGAAAGTCATTACCCCAAGGAACTAGGAGATGACGAATTCATCCCTGGCCCCAAAGCTCGATCTCTCGCCATTAAGCGATTGATTGCTGCCATTGTCATCGTACTTGTCCTCGGCTTGTCCATCTCGAAGCCGCTCGCATTCTGGTGTCACAAATCTCGACATGGGCCTCTAACATACGAGGAACGGGCTCAAAAGATCTTGAAAGAAACTCCCCTGATTGGTATGTAATCCGAGAGCCCATCATTGTATGTCTCCTTACCCTCAAGCAGACGGACATAATGACTTGCCCATCCTTGTTCGATTCCTATACAATAACCACATTTATGGCAAGAACTTCACCGAGCCCTTCGAAAATGGAGGCATGTACGGCCAGGTTGACCTGCCTCGACTGAAGGAGGGTCTCAATGGCGGTGCTTTTTGGAGCGTTTTTACACCCTGTCCCGCTGATGGAAGTAATTTCTCTGATGATAACTACGCCCCTAGTAAGTCCAGCTACTGTTGCTTCGGAAACAATGTTGACTATCTCCAGGTATTCAGATGACACTGCAGCAAATTGACCTCATGACGAGGATCAAAGATACCTACCCAGATGTCTTCTCCCCCACAGTCAACAGCAGCACGGCACTCAAGGCGTTCAAGGATGGCCAGCTCATCTCACCACTAGGCGTTGAAGGCCTGCACCAGATCGGCAACTCCGCCGCCAATCTGCGCACGTACTATAACCTCGGTGTGCGCTACTCGACACTCACCCACAACTGTCATAACAAATTTGCCGATGCTGCTATCCTGGAGAATCCTCTTCGCAAGGCCGAGCCTCACTGGCACGGCGTCAGCCCTCTCGGCCGCCGTCTCGTCAACGAGATGAACCGCCTCGGCATGTTCGTCGACCTGTCGCATGTCAGCGAGGACACCATGGTCGACGTTCTCGGTGGGAATGAGACCTGGACCGGCAGCAAGGCGCCAGTCATTTTCTCTCACAGCTCGGCATACAGCGTCTGTCCCCACCCTCGTAACGTCAAGGACCATGTCTTGCACCTAGTGAAAGAACGCAATTCGCTGGTCATGGTCAACTTCAGCCCGGACTTCATCTCCTGTGTTGACGCTGGACACGAGAACGGCCTTCCTGACTCTGTCCCGGAGAACGCAAACCTGGACCAGGTGGTAAAGCACATCCTTCACATTGGCAACCTGATCGGTTTTGACCACGTCGGTTTGGGGTCTGATTTTGATGGCATTCCTACCACGCCTACTGGCTTGGAAGATGTGTCCAAATTCCCCGCATTGGTGGCCGAGTTGCTGAAGCAGGGAGTCAGTGATCAAGATGTCTCCAAAGTCGTTGGCGGCAACTTGCTGCGTGTTTGGGAAGAAGTCGATACCACAGCCCTTAAACTGCAGGCCGCCGGCGAGCCCGTATTGGAAGACGACTTGCCTAGCCTGAGGTTCGAAGGCGCATATTCTAAGGATCCGAAGTCAGGCGCCAAACTTGGGTGGGACAGGCGGTAATTCTTCACATAGATGTAGAGGCACCACGAGCATCAAGTTGACCAACCAGTCGTCATACATAATACGAGGTCGGAAGCTGCCAGTAGAATCCCTCAGAGCCAGGATCATGCGGTGATTCTTTTCCCCGTGGCTACCCTCCGAGTGCGTTCGACTTAGCGGTACATATCATTCAAAACCCACTCATGTACCTTGGATGTGTCTGAATCGTGGTTATTGTTTGTTGTACATTGGCCGGAACACATTGCATCCGGATCTCTATCAGAATACACTGAATGGTTACACGCACGGGCATCGCTAATGACCGGCTTCGCCGTCATCCATCTCCAATAAAGCCATGTTCGATCACCGTTTCCTGTCCACCCTGTTGAGCTTCTTTGCCGTTTCGATCTGTGTTCTCGTACGCTGGCCTCTCGCCGGCAGGTTCATGGCGTGCCGCCTTCCTCTGTAGCTACCCATATCCTTCAATCTCTGGATATTCTCGCGCAGGACCTTCTTCGCGTCGTTCTCAATCGTCATTACCGACAATTCGGCAGTTAATGAGGTAATGGTCTTGGGTGCCAGGGAGCCGACTTTGGCCCATGGGTGGATGGAGTACTTGGCGAGAATTCGCTGGGAGACGCTGGGACCGAGAGCATAAAAGGATTCGAGAGCTTTCTGTAGTCGGTAGTTAGTCCCTGTCGGAGCGGTATGTCGATGCTGAAGGGCGGATAGGAGTGTAGTGTGAATATACCTTCACGAGCTTCTGCTCTGAGAAGTTAACGCCTAGAATGAAAACCTACAGGGTGTCAGTAACAATCCCTACATCCATATGTTTTGAAGACCAACCATGTTGTCTGGCTCGGGGCGTAGCCAACAATTCGCGTTCAAAGTTCTGTCGCGACAACAGTCCCAAATCAATGGACTGGTTGGATGTCGAGTCGAGTTCGATGCGGACCAAAAATTGAAGGCTGAGCCACAGTGGTGTGGCGCATGGGCTACGGCTTATCGTAGTGATAAATCCGATAGTGTCTGGTCGAGGCTGCCGGGACGCAAACCCCCTGCCCCGCACGCCGTGGTCACACCTTCTGCCGTAGTACCGATTCAGTGCTGGTGGCGGGACCTTAGGCGAATGCCTGCAGGGGTCCAAGCTGTGGCCCCCCCTACTTCGCCATCCGTGAGGGGGAGAGTTGAAACGTGGTAGCTTCCGGGACAGTACCAGCTGGCTTTTACCACCTGTTCCACCTACACTACCAATGTGAGTTTCCTCCTCGCATAGCATCATCACGAACCAACCCAATTGACTCTCTTGAGCATCCATCAATATGTTCAACTTGCGACGCATTGTCCTCTCCGCCGCTCTGCTCCTCGGAGTCAGCATGGTCTTGTTCGCCCAGACGGCTGAGGCCACCAAGGGCCCCAAGATCACCAACAAGGTCTACTTCGACATCACGCAGGGTGACGAGCCCCTCGGCCGTGTTGTCCTCGGCCTTTACGGCAAGACCGTCCCCAAGACCACCGAGAACTTCCGTGCTCTTGCTACTGGCGAGAAGGGCTTTGGCTACGAGGGATCTAGCTTCCACCGTGTCATCAAGCAGTTCATGATCCAGGGCGGCGACTTCACCAAGGGCGACGGTACTGGTGGCAAGTCCATCTACGGCGAGAAGTTCCCCGACGAGAACTTCAAGCTCAAGCACACCAAGAAGGGTCTTCTGTCCATGGCCAACGCCGGTCCCGACACCAATGGCTCGCAGTTCTTCATTACCACCGTCGTTACCTCGTAAGCTTTCTCCATCTTTCCCACGCAATGTCGGGAACATAAACTGACCGACGAACCAACAGTTGGCTCGACGGCCGCCACGTCGTCTTCGGCGAGGTTCTTGAGGGCTACGAAATTATCGAGAAGATCGAGAACGCTCCCACGCAGCCCGGCGACCGCCCTACCAAGGCCGTTAAGATCGCCAAGAGCGGCGAGCTGGAGGTGCCCCCCGAAGGTATCCACGTGGAACTCTAAGCACAACACGTACTGTAGCCCACCATTCTTCATGCTCCTGTCAAATTGGCATTCTCGTCTTCTGTTCTGCTCTGCTCCCCTTGTCGCGCATGCTGATGCTTGGGGTGTTTGTTGCAGATCTCTACGGGAATGCCCAGTTTGCTTCTGGGCAATCTACCGAGGACACGCCTCTGCAGGTTGGTTCTCAGGCTGAGGGCTGGTCGTTCATCCAGAAGGGTCTTCTTTTTGGCGTTGTCCTCGCCGTTGTCGCCATCTACTTCCGCATGAACAAGAAGAACGACTCTTTCCACGAGAAGTCCTTGGCTTAGAAATGCCAGATTACATAGTCGGAAATGGTAGAGCACATATAAGAAGAAAAAACTTTGATCACTACCTGCCTTGTGATGACTGCTCAAGGATGTGTTGGACTGCAAAACCGCAAATTTTCTACTTGTTGATCCATATGGGGAGTTTGACGCTTACTGTGAACTTTCGCCCCTCCCCCAGTTGGCTCTCATCACCAAGTGTGGGGTCATGAACCTCACTCAGTTAAAAATTTCCCTCCATACCACATCTTCAATACCCAAGCCTCCTGACCACCAGCGACTCAAATTTTAAGGGAACCAAAACTCAAATCTCACCACTGAAAATGAAGATTCTCAGCCTTAACTTTCTGACGTGCGCCGTCAAGGCATGCAAGTCCTCCACCGCCTCGTACCCGCTGCACCCCAAGGACGCTGAGCTCGTGCAAGACGAAATTGAGCTGAATGAGCAGATGCTGCTTAACGTGCTGCCCCGCCTGGATTGGACTGCGCTGCGGACAAACGCGACTGAGGTAAGTGATACTACACCCTTTCACCATCATGATATCGTCCTGTTTTCCCACTCTGTCCTCTCTCTCTTTCTTGCGTCGATTCGTAGCAGCCCCAATTTTTCCATGCTCTAACGTCATCCTAGCTTGGCTTCCCCGAACTCCCTGCCGAGGCGCCTACCGCTGAGGCCCTGCAGAGCGACGAGAAGACGCTCAAGGACTTGCACCACCTTCTCATGGAAACGCAGATCTTGGAGGGCAAGCTCGTGTGCGGCAACTGCGGCCACGAGTACGCTATTCGCGAGGGCATTGCTAACTTCCTGCTCCCGAGCCACCTGGTCTAACTGACTTTCCTGTCACCCCAGACGCGTAATGAGAGATGAAAGACTTGCCCCCTAACCCCCTCCAGAAAACAGCGGCGGTGGGTATGGGAGTGCAGAGTAGCACGGACGGGGCGGTTGTTGTGATGGCGTTCAAAGGCGTTTCAACCGCGGCATGATACGGATTGGGGGCAAATCAAGTCCCTCGACCTTTTCTTCAATTCAGACGCAATTCATACACTCAATGGTTCTCTACAACGAGCAGACGGCGCGCATGGGACACCCGCGCACCCTCCTCCTTGATAATGCCTCATGAAGACCACCCGTAAACTCCCGTGTTCGTGTCTTATAGATTACATGCTTTGCACAAACGACACAAAGCCTTGTTCTAGCCGCAGTGAGCGTAACGCTTAGTTCTGCTTCTTGTGCGCGGCAGGTCCGTTCTCCTTGTCAAATGCGCCGTATGAAACCTCAAGGCTACCGAGGGCACGCAGACCGACGCCGAGGATGGATAGAAGGAGGATAGAGATGACGAGAGCATGGAAAATGCCTGCGCGTGTTAGCTCGTTGTGTTTGGCAAGATACTCATAGCAACATGGGGGCCACTGACCAGGCGTGAAGAATTGGTACTTTTCGAAAAGCCCCAACTTCTCCCACTCAGTGTTGTTGTCGGCGCGAGGGGCGGAGACAACGCGAGCACGGAGCCTCTTCAGGTCCTCATGGAGGGGCTCGTTAAACTCCGCTTCGTAGGATGTCTGCTCCGACGGGCTGGTAAGATAGATGACGGTGAAGTCCTCAAGCTCGAGGACCTCATCCAGGGTGATTTTGATAAGCTGGTCTGTGCAAAGGTCAGTCGGAATTCTTTGACTCTGTGATGACGCAGCATACCATTGTCTGCCAGTTGGCTGTCGCGGCCAGAGGAAGAAAGGCCAGGGAGCAGGGTGTTCCAGATCTTAGGAGTTCTGCTTTGCTTGGCGCAGCCGGAGTTGATGTAACCGGTAACAGCGGTAACTTCGACCTCGCCCAGAACCTCTGCCACGCCGTAACGACTGCTGACTTTGTTGCTCGAGATGGCGCTGCAGACGCTACTGACTTTACAGCCCTCGCCGCGAATATCGGCCGCGTTCGCGTTCGGCTGAGAGATGACATAGTAGTTCTCGGTTGGGCAGGAGTCGAGGATATTCTGGACGGCGCTCAGGACTTGGGTGCCGGTCTGCAGCTGGGCAGCATCGGGGGTTTGCGCGAACCTGCGGCAAGTCAGTACAACTGGCTAGCTATGCGAAACGAGATGGCCCTAGGCTGCACGTACTTTGCTGTGGAGAGGAGTACGAAGGGGGAGGAGTTGGAAAGGGCGTTGGCCGAAGCGGCGAGGGCCAAAAGGCCGGCTTTGTGTGATGTACGCATGACTGGTAATGTTGCGGTCGACCAGTTGATGCTGTGTACCTAGTTGGCAGCCTTGTCGTGATGAAGTCGTTGGCTGAATGACGGTACCTGTTCGAGCTCAGGCCCAGATGCAGGTAAGCGTCACAGCGAGCTGTCTAGGCGCATACTAAACTGCCGAATCACGTGTGGCCGAACCATGCCATGCAGTCTCCATGTGCAAGACAGATGCACTTTCTGAAGAGAGCAAAATGCCTGATGAGAACAAATTCAATGGTTTTCATCGCAATATAGCGCTACAGATCCGGGGTCATTGTCGTGCAGATATTGCTTAGAATCTAGCTTTGCGAGGTACTTCACTGCCAGCACCGTGTCGGCTTCCTCGAAGATAGTCCTCTTCTGCTCTGATTGCCTATGAGACCTTATTGCTCCAGTTTAAGTTTCGCGATCGGTCGCAACGCAACCTCTCATAACCGCGATTTCTGTGCCTCTGCTGCTCGTAACGCATGATGGATTTGAAATAGAACAGACGGAGACGGAAGCAAGACAACAGCATGCCAAGAACGACTTCATGTTCATCACAGAGCACAGCTTGCAGCGCATAGAAGCACTACCTTGTAAGAAGTCAGGCCCCAGGTGGTTGCAGCGACAGGGCCCTCTAGCGCATGGACGGCCATTCCATGGCGAAGCTCCTAGCGCGGGGAGATCCGGCGTAGTGGGTCTGTGCAGCCGCAGACTGCGATTCTTCAGGTGCAAGCCCGCGCCCAAAAAAAATCCAGCATCAAGCAGCAGACAGTTGCCCAATTAGACCAACTACACCACCACATAGATCGCCGCAATGTTCGCCCAACCACGAGTAAAGAAAAGCACACTGCCGCCTCCTAAGAAGAGGAAAGCGGCCTCGGCTGTTGAGGAAGTTAACTTTGACTTCGACCAACGCGAGGACTACTTGACAGGGTTCCACAAGCGGAAGCAACAGCGCATCAAGCTTGCGCAAGAACAGGCGGCCAAGAAGGACCGAGAGGAGAAAATCGAAATCAGGAAACAAGTAAGAACGCAGTGCACCATATTGCTCAAATGTGTGTATTCTGACATTGGCCGGTATAGGTTAGGGACGACCGCAAGCGCGAAGTAGAAGATCATGTGAACACCGTCAACAAGCTTTTGCGTGAGGCGCAAGCAGCAGATTCAGGCGACCATCAAGAAATCAACGGAGAAGACTTCGAGGAGTGGGATGGCATTGAGGAGAAACAGCCTGAGGTCATAGACTTCGAGGACGAGTACATCGACGAGGACCGCTTCACAACAGTCAAGGTTGAGGCCATCGCAGTTACACGGGACGGTTTCGAGAAACTGCACGATAACGACGACTCGGAAAACGAAAAGAAAGAAGAGGACGAAGACTCGGAGAAAAAGGGCGCGGAGGAGAAGAAAACTCCCAGGGCGCGCAAGGAGTGGCCAAAGAAGAAGGCGAAGTTTCGATATGAACAAAAGTTCGACCGTCGCATCGAAGAGAGGAGACAAAAGGCTAAGAAGAAGGCGAAATACAAAGGCAAGGAATGATTTGCCTCGGACATCGTAATGATCTCCCGAGCACACGCAGCAGCTGTTGGTACCTGGCCTGCCTAAGCTTCCGCATAGAGATAATGGATACCCCCGGCTGCCTCACCTCGGCCTCCCTAAGTCATATAACTGTGAAAAGCACAACTGGACGCCCATTTCGCAAAATGCTATGCTGTCGCAAATTTGGAAATCGGAGACAACAGTTCCACCGCTGCGGCGCCTGAAGGTTCCCATATGACTGGAAGTCCATACTGTCACCCTACAACGTCCGCCACAGGCTCTATCATCAAGAGAGCATACACGCAGCAGTAACGTTAACCTCAACAACTTGAATTAGATGTTGCCAATCTCGTTCTGAAGCTCTTCGAGCTCCTTCTTGAGTTCCGTGTACTTCTTCGACATCTCCTCGTACTTGGCCTCCCACTGGTCACGCTCGACCTCAAGGGCCTGCACCTTGCGCTCAAAGTGGCCAGCCTTGACGTCGGTCTGACGAAGCCTGTCATTTCTCGTTAGCGGGTATTCCTCTCTATACTCGGCAGGAGCGTTATCGCAGCGTACTTCTCGTTGGCCTCGCGGAGAGTCTTGTCGGCATCCTCGGCCTCCTCCTCAAGAAGCTGGAGCCTCCGCTGCAGGGTCTCGTTCTGAGTGCCGGTAGTTGTGCTCTCGTCGGCAGCCTTCTTGTGATCCTTAACACTGCCCTCAAGCTTCTCGACTTCGGCCTCGAGAAGACCGTTCTTGTGCTGCAGCGAGGTGATTTCCTGCTCCTTGGACAGGTTCTCCTGCTCGAGAACCTTGACCTTGGACTGGAGCTCCTCAACCTTGGAAGATGCCTCGTCGGCCTCCAGGCGAAGCTGGTTCATTTTCTATGCGCGAAAAGAAACGTCAGCACCGCAACTCGATATAGGGGGTTTTACCCCTCCAGGACAACCAGTGCTAGTGGGGCATCCCCAAAGAAAGCGGGAAGCGTACCTCCTTGATGCGGTCCATGATGTCGGTTTCTGAGGTACGTAGAGTAGCGATGAAAGTTAAAAACGAGGCTTTGGCAGCAAGTGTTGTGTCGTAGAGGAAGATCTTGGGTCGATGGATGGCTGGGTTGGTAAAGGTGGTGAAGGGGCAGTGGGAGGAAATAACGAAGCACCCCCTCTATGTGCACAGGGCCCCGGTACTGCAGAGCTGGGAGCCAGTCCTCTGACAAGGTGGCCGTGCACCAACAGATCTAGGCAGGGGAATGGTGGGGATGATCAGGCGGGGCGGCTTGAGCTGTGTGTGGCCTTGGCTGATCGCGCACCGCCGACCGTCGCCTCCTAGGCTCCTGCTCGGTTAGTTGTCCCGACAACCATTCCCAAACACATGTTGCCAATTCTTCGCCTCCTATCTGGCCAACAACCAACCGTCCAACAAACATCCAACAACGCAGACCCTGTCCGAGTATCATTCAACAATAATCGCGGAACGACACCTGCGCCAATCGTGCCGCAAGGCTCAACAAAATGCTCGCTCTTCGTGATGAGAACGCGGTCAATGCGGCCCAGACGATCCGGCAGGCTCAAGGAAAGGGGCATCTGGCCCCTAAGACGCCTGGAGCCCGGTACCCCAAGACGCCGTCAGGACATCACGATGAGAACGCCGTTGGTGGGAAGACCATTCTCGGAAAGACGAAAGGCACAATCAATCAGCCAGCTCGTCAGAGACTTGTCACTCCTTCAGGTATGGCTCAGCTACTTCTAGCGTGTCGCACTGCTTAAAAGCAAACTAACGCAGCATATCAGGCACGCAGGCTCGCGCTCCTCTTGGAAACAAAACCACCAATGCGAAAGCGAAGAACGGACAAGTACAAGGTGTGAAGAGTATTGTCAAGGAGCTCGAGAAGACCGACGCCAAACAAAACACAATCCAGAAGCCGAAGAATAAGGGCCCGGTTGTTGACCCTCTAAAGGTTGCTGTTCACATCGACCTGGGTGGGGACGAACATGAGATTGAGCATGCCCCGTTGCGGGTTAAAGACCTGCCTTACGAGTCGGATGTATTCCCCGAAGGCGGTCTGAACTTCGACGGTCTCAAGAAGGAAAACATGTTCAAGGGCTACTACAACCATTTCTACAACCCTCTCGGCGAAGACGGCCTCAGATTCGAGGACCGTAAGCACGAAGAGCGGATGCAGAAAGCTCTCAAGAAGAACGACGAGGAAATCATTCACGACATCGATTCGATGGACTGGTCCGTCTCGGATGTCCCGGAAACCAGGAAACTTGTTCAGAAGAAGACGGCACCAGTGGCCAACCTTACGAAGATGAACATCAAGCCTTCGGTCAAGTATCCAGCCACAATCAACTCGCGCAGAGCTGCTTCAGCTCTGTCCATGACTGACGGCTCGACGGTGAGGGCAAAGAAGTTGCCCGACGTCCCCGTTCGAAGGCCTATCTCTTCACTGCTACCTGGTAAAAGAGTCGCCAAAGCACCCACAGCGCCGTCCAAGTCGGTGGCGGCAGAGAGCGCTGTAGGGGAGGCTGCCTCAAGAAGCACGCTTGGTTATACCAAGGGCCGATCCGCTTCCTCGCTGATCAGTGGTCGAGCTCCCATGCCAGGAACGGTCACTGAGACGGCTAGAACCAACCCTCCGACCTCAGCGTCTGCATTGACTGTACGACGAGATCCCGCTCCCCAGAAGCGACAAACCACCGAAGAAGAGCAGCAGTCTCTCCAGCGCCTTCAGTTCCTCTCCATCTTTGAACCCGAGGACGACATCGATGTTGTTGGGTCTGCTCCTCAATTTGATAATGACGAGGACGAAGAGTTTGAGTTGAAGCTGGAGTAACGAGTCAAATGATATACCTGGTGGCCTGGGCCTTCTATGTCATACCGGCTTAGCCAAAATCGATGTCACAACTGCGCAGACTGGGATCAAAACAGTGTATCAATAGCGAAAACTTCTTTTAGGTTCTAATGAATGAATGAGACATGGCCATATCAAATTCCGAGAATAATTATGGGCAGCATCGGGATCATCACTCGGTGCATGGGACTTGACTTCTGGTCCAGGAACTTTCGTCGGCGTTGCCGCCATCAGAAGCCTGATGTATTATGTAGCATGAGCGAAGGTGTGCATGCCCGAAGCAGAGAGGGGAACTGCAGAGCTGGGAAAGAAAAACTCCGGAGAATTGGAGGGACCATCAACGATACCGCGAGACGGCAGCCATTAGGGACCTGGCACCAAACCAAGCACAAATATCGAGACTGCGACAGACAGTGACTGCCATGCATGATGGTATGCCTCAAGATCCAGGTACCCAGGGGACAGTGGCCCCAACCTCCTCGAAACGCGAGCTTGCAGGAGGGTCGCGAAAATGCGCGACAGTGCGCGACAGATGGTGGAGTCCAATTAAGTTCCTAGCCCATCACGTGCAGCCCGGCTGACCTGTGCGACCCTCTGAAGACTTGACTCTGGCGTACCATTGCCGCTAATGACGTTCGAAAGTTACCGGCCAACCAGGTACCGCTCTGAGCCTCCACCCAAGCACTGGAGTTGAGGTGGGTGGTCGGCGCTTCGCCATTCCTTGCTCCGTGGCCATCCCTGAAAGACTTTGGACAACACTGCTTCGGCTTCGTCTTTGGTCTGTCGCTCACGTCGCCGATTCAATCCATCAACGCGCAACGGATCGTGCGACAAAGCCCAATAGCCCCTGTCTGTCCATCAAACCTGCGCTCTCCTTGACGCGACAAACACAATCCGACATCTCACACTTCCTGCCAGCTTTCTTGGGCACCCTTGGCTGGTCGCGTGAACATACCCCCAACACAATATCATTCACGATACAGCCTGTCGCGCATTCCACCCATACGCATGGTGCCCTTTTACGAGTATCATTCGAGAGCTAGGATGCTCGGAGGCTGGGCGAGGAGGTAGAAGCAGCAATCCTTCACGATGACTCGCCAGTCCAGCGCGGGTTTCGCGCAGTTCTTCCCAACTGCCCCGCGGGCAGCCAGGGAGAAGGCTACAGAGCGCGAGAAAGCAAGGCTAAAGACACAAGAGACGGCTGGCTCGTTGCTTGCCTCGCAGCCTGTTGTCCTTGCTGCTCCTGCCGATGGCCTCACTGGCCAAGCCGCACCTACAGACGCAAATCTGGTGAACGGGTCGCATCCCCAAGCAGAGGATAATGGGTCTCCTCTCGGCGAGATCCTGACCGCTGTTGGCTCTGCAAGCTCCCACGCAAGCACAGGTTCATCCATATTCAGCGCAACGACGCGGCAGTCCCTTTGCCAGCGGCTTGTCTCAAAACGCAGCTGCAAGCACCGTCACCCCGCTCACTTCAATTGAGTCGCCCTCAGTCTCTGGTCATACACATCCACCGAAGCCGACTACATCCAACTCCCAAATTCCCGACCATCAGCAGTCGTCCACAGCTCACCAGAGCCCAGCCCATATGCCGAATGGCTCATCAGATTCATACCCTGCCGTTGATCGCGTTCCCGCGCGTGCCCCCGGTCGATCGCGAAAAGGTGTCAAAAGCATCAATGACCCGTTACTCGATAAGACACTTTCGAAGGACAAGATCAGGGCCGCCAAGCCAACATTCAAAGAGTTTGGAATGGTACGTTCATCTATACTATACTATACCCACCTTGAAGGGGGGGGCGTCATTTGAGGAGCGATTTGAGGCTAATGAGATGAGAGTAGGATGACGATGACGCCCCCCCTTCAGATCCTCGCCTAGCTATGGGCGGGCGATTGAATTACATGAACACCGACTTCCGTCACCACAAGTCTCGCCTCAGGCCCGCCGCATACAACCTGAAACCGTATCCTTTCGAGCCTAAGACCTCCATCGGCCCGGGCCCGCCAACACAGATCGTCGTGATGGGCTTCAACCCGCTCATCAACTTCCAGAAGGTCTTGCAGGCGTTTGCAACTTTTGGCGACATTGCCGAGAGCAGCAACAAGATGCACCCCGAGACAGGAAGCTATCTCGGGTTCGCAACCTTTCGTTACCGGGACTCCCAGCCCAGCCGATCCAGGCCTATGGCCATCAAAGCGATCGACGCTGCTCGGCGCGCCCTGAGGACCATGAATGGTCAACGCATCGAGAGCAACAACATCAAGGTTGAATACGATCCCAATGGCAAGAAAAGTGGCCGTATGCTTGAGGAAACTGTCAATAGGGACAGATCTACCCCAAACCCGTCAAATGTTCGACCTCCGCCAGCTGGGCCCAGAACAACAGCGCCAGAGCCAGCACACGGCCCGCCGCCAATGGCGCCTCGAGGACCTGCGGCGCATAGGCAAACTGCGACGCCAGTGCCCACCGGCCCTGGCAGGCCAATTCAACCGATCAAACAACACAGCGTTGTAGAGGATAAGCCGATAGCACCACAGCTAGCTGGCGAGCCCTACATTTTTGTTCCAAGTGCTAAGGTCCCAGTCATGCATACAACTGTTCCACACATGAAGAAGAGACTCAAGGCACACTCTTTTGACGACATTCGTGTCGACCGAACGGGCTACTACATCGTCTTTCCAAGTTCGTCCTTTGGGCCGATCTGAAGCAGAGCGATGCTTCAGAAATGTCCACAGAACTGATTTTTCAACTACGAGTTCTATATGACGCTATGTTGCCCCGCTCATGACGACAGACCGAACTACGGCTCATGCACACGTCGACGACTCAGCCCGATGCAGCGAAACAGAGTGCGAACAGGAGATACGACCGACGACGTCAGAGAAAAGACGACCTGAGAAGAGAAGCGCAAGGGCCAAAAATTTCGATCCTGTGCAAGCAGCCGGGAGGTCATTAGCCATGAATTGGCGGAGCACTTGATCAAGCACATTCGTACGCGGGTAGCAGCACCTGCCCTCACGGCGTTCCTTGACCCCAAGAACCATATTGCAAGACGACGGCAGCTTAATCTCGAGGACCCGATCGAGTCGACGCCCTCGCGCAAGACTGCAACAGGCAACGGAAGCCCCCAGGTTGGCACCCCCGAATTCGGGTGCCGATCCTATCGAAAAGCGCCCCCGGGCGCCTCGAAATATCGGCCCTGCCACGTATTCGCAAAATCAAGAATCCAGGACAGGCGCAGCAGAGGAACTACGGCTTCACCGATCCCTTTGCCCGAAAACGACCCCCGCAAGCGCGAAACGCCTTCCGCTCCCTCCACCACCGACTCAAAAGCTACGACAGTGATGTCGAATCGGATGATGAAGGCAGGAGATCTGTGGCTCGGGAATCTGAGGAGCCCGAATCTCGTCCTCGTAGCCGTATGAGTTCGGATGATGAAGATGATGAAGCGTCGAAGGATGAGCTTGGCTCGTGGGGAGCTGCTGAAGAAGACTCCATGACCGAAGCCCGCTTCGCAGTTGGAGCCCTACCCACAAAAAAGCGGAAGCTCGAGCTCGAGGCGCAAACTGCTCTGAAGCGACAGAAGAAGTCCGACGAGGAGCTGTTCGGCGTCACTCTCGACCATATCGAGACTGAACTTCCTGTGCATCCCGTGTCGGAAGGTGTTACGCCCGAATGCGATCTGCCCGGCGGCAAAGAAGAGAGTCTATCTCGTTCCGAGACGCCTAGCCTTTTAGCCGGTAAGCTGCTGTCTAAGAAGATTAAATCAAAGAGGAAATCCAAGAAGCAGCTCTTCGAAGAACGCGAGGCGCTCAAGAAGCATCAGTCTGATATTGAAGGATCTGAGGCGCCCGAAGACCGAGAAACGCCTGCTGCTGAGGACCCCAAGAAATCGGAAGCTGTCGAGGAAGAGGAGCCCTATCAACCAGCTGCTGTACCGACGGACCTTAGTTTGTTCGCCTATGAGCCCACGAAGGCACTGCAACTTTCGCAAGATTCGAGGGCTAGCCTTGGACCGCTGCAAGATGTGGAGTTCTCCCCCGCAGACCTTCCCGACTTTGCCAAACTGCAGAAAAGGTTCCCTGTGGCTGATTTCGACGATCCTCTGCTGTGGCTATGGAGGCGAAACCGCGTGCGGGAGGTCAACAACCTGGATCAGTCGGCTGAAAAGAGCCTTGCGATTGAAGGGTACTATGTCCCCAATCCTACAGGTTGCGCTAGGACGGAGCCTATCAAGAAGATTCTCAATTCGGAGAAGTCCAAATACCTACCTCATCACATCAAGGTCCAGAAGGCCAGGGAAGCAAGAGAGGCTCGGGTACAGAAGGACGGCAAGACTGCGCCCACAACTGCTCCTGCTCCTGCCCCTACGAAGGGCAACTCGCGAGCCAACCGTGCCAACAACCGCAGACACGTCACGGCACTGCAAGACGAAATGAAGTCCTCGGGCGATCCCGACGTTTTCAAGTTCAACCAACTCAAGAAGCGCAAGAAGCCAGTCAAGTTTGCCCGTTCTGCGATCCACAACTGGGGTCTCTACACAGAGGAGAACATCAACAAGGACGACATGATCATTGAGTATGTCGGCGAGCAAGTCCGGCAACAGATTTCAGAAATTCGCGAAGTCAGGTACCTCAAGCAGGGCATGGGCAGCAGCTATCTGTTCCGCATTGACGAGAACACGGTCATCGACGCAACGAAGAAGGGCGGCATTGCCCGATTCATCAACCACAGCTGTATGCCCAACTGTACCGCCAAGATTATCAAAGTGGATGGCAGCAAGCGCATTGTCATCTATGCACTTCGCGATATTGCACGAAGTAAGTCAAACATTCCACGGTCTACATTGGGTATCCTCGTATGCTAACAAGATTTGCAGCTGAGGAGTTGACCTACGATTACAAATTTGAGCGAGAGATCGGCAGCCTTGATCGCATTCCATGCCTTTGCGGAACGGCTCTATGCAAAGGCTTCCTCAACTGATGGCCGTTATTGTGTGACATGTGCTTTCGTTCCGTCGGGTGGGGCATTTGGTGCTTTCACAGTCCGGGTTGCGTTGTTTTCACCTGCCTGCTCTGCTCTATATACGCAGGGTGCCCGGGACGTAAGGGGAGCTTGGAGGGAACAACAAAAAGCGGTGTACAATGACATTCGACATGCGCCGAGGGGAGCATCCGGGCGTTTTGGGTCATTTTTTTTATTTGTGTTTTCCAGAGAAATGCAGG